ACCGGGGAGAGCAGTTAGGGGCTGTTGCACTAAGTCAGGCAAGAGCTGAAAACGGCTTGCAGCAGGGCGGTGGCGGCCGATAGATGGAAGAGCAGATGCGCTGGGTTTGGATATGCTCTGGCGATAGGGGCCCAGGATGAGAGGCAAGGGGAGGCTGAGAGGAGAGTCAGAGAGCCTCCCACGTGCGCCAGCTCTATTCGCCGGCTGCCTGCTCTCCGCCCTGGGGTTGGTGGAGGTGGGAGGAAGGGAGAGAGACAGTTAATGGCAGTAAAACTTTACCCTAACCCCAGAAATCGTTCTTTTTCCTGTATTATGTGGACGCTACATTCTCCTGGTTTTCCAACCACCTATCAAATGAGCCCCACTTCCTCAGCCTTCTTCCCTGGTCCCCCTCACCCTGACCTCTGACTGTGGAGAGCACAGCCAGGCTCAGGCTTGGGCTCTCCCGCTCCCTGTCTGTGTTCCCTCCCCAGAGAGTCTATTGCATCTCTTGGCTCTAAAAATCACCCGAGTACTGAACACTCCCAAATTTGTATCTTCACACTAGACCTCTCCCCTGAATTCCACACTCATACAACTGCCTACTCAACATCTCCGCTTGCATATTTAGTCAGCTCAGACTTAATAGGGCCGTACCCAAACTCCTACTCTCCCCGCTCAGAATCCGCTCTTCCTGGGATCTTCTTCTCTTGCTGAACGACCCCTCCATCCTTTCAGATGCTCAGGCTGGAAACTCTGGAAACCCTTCCAGTCTTGCTTTCTCGCAGCCCATATGCAAACCCATCAACAAATCCTGTCCAATGTACTGGAAGAAACAACAACACACACACACACATCCAAAATCCAATCTCTCTCGTCACCTCTAATCTACTGTTACAATGATTTCATAATTGGCCTCCCTTGCCCCCCTACTGTCTACTCTCAACACAACCACCAAAGCAGCCTTGACAAAACTCAGTTCGGATCGTGTCGCTCTACTGATGACACCCCCGACGGTCTGTCCGCGGTCTCACGCAGGGTCAGAACGAAAGCCTTTTCAATGGCCCTGCATAGTCTGCCCTCCACGCCCACCCCTTTCATCTCTCTGGTCTCACCTCAGCTTCTATCATTCTCTGCACCCCTAACTGCCCTTCCCACCACACACACACACTCACACACACACACACACACACTCTCACACACACACACTCTCACACACTCATAACCTCCCTCCGCTTGGCTCCAGCCACACTGGGATTCTTCCTCTTCCCTCGATGCACAAGCCTTAGCCCTTACTGTTCCCTCTACCTGAATGCCTCTTCCCCCCAGATATCTGAAGGCCTCACCTCGGCTATCTGCCTGCCCCAACATTACGTTTTCAGGGAGGCCTTCTCTGAGCAGCCTGTTTAACGTGGCTGCTACCCCACACCACTACTCACATTCATTCCCTTCTCTGCGTTTCTCTCCATAGAGGATGTCAGTGTCTGCTGCACTGCACGCTGTTTGCTCCACATGCCCCACCACTACCACCAGAATATGAGCTCCATGATGCCAGGGCTATTGTCTCTCATTTCCTGCTTTGCTTATTTCCTTCCCCAGAACAGAGCCTGGTGCATGGTGGACACTCAACAGTGAGTGAATGAATGGAATTAGGGAAACACCTACAACCCTCAAGAGGCAGCCTGGGTCTGGGCATTAAGACCTGATTTCTAGTACTCGCTTTGGCCCTAGCTGTGTGAACTCTGGCCTCACATTGTAGGCAGCAGAGAACTGGCCCTTTGCTGCTGCGGCATTCTGGGACGATGCTTAGCCACGGCCTGCCTGCTGCCACTCTGCTGAGAGAGGAAGGCAGGGATGGACAAGACCTGGTGGAATAAGAGGAGAGAACTCTCGCTCCTTCTTCTAGCCAAGGCTTGGGTGGAGTCTTCACTGGCTTTGAAATGAGAGGCAAGGTTCCGGGTTGGACTTGGAGGCTTGGTGAGGGGCCCAGACCCTCCGGCTGAGTGGGGACAAATAGAGGCCTGTCCGCTAGGACTGGGCTCCTCCTCATGGGGAGTCTGTCCCTGTGAGGGCCTCGCGGGAAGCACTGCTATAAGAAAAGGAGAAGAATGGGAGGTGGGAAACAGGGGCAGGTAAGAACTGACCAGGGAGGACTGGCGAAGGCCCTCCGTGTGGATCGCCTGGGCCCGCACACTGGTCTCCAACGGAGCTGTGGGCGGTCAAGCCTTCATGCGGACCTCGACTGGCCCCCACGGCCCTCACAGGCAGCACCCACTCCGAGGCAGAGGGGCCAGCCTTTTGGCTGAGGAGAGAAAACCCGGGGCTCCTCCCTTTTCTGGGCCTTGCAACAGCACCCTGCTTGTTTTCCCTGAAATAAATGGGCTGAGCATATCAGGCCGGCAATAACCCCTTGAAATCAGTTGTTATCACAGTTAACAACCAGTTTGGCTTCAGTTCAGGCTGTTAACTATCAAACCACTAAGTGCCGGTAATGATTGATTCTCGGCCAGTTGCGGCTTGAGTGGGCTGTAAAACCCCATTAGCGAGGGCTCTGTGGAGGCAGCAACTCAAAGATAAACAAGGTGGTGGGTGCTCCGGCCCAGCCTAGCCCTGCTGCTTTGGCCTCTGCCCCCATGGCACCATGGCCTGGGGTCCTGCAAGGATTCAACCCCTTCCCAAAGCCTCAGGCAGCCTCATGGACCAGATACCAGCTGTCCCGTCCAGCTCTACTCCCCCTTGCCGCCGCCAGTCATCTCCCTCCTCCCTACAGGCAGGCCGGCTCTATGGACCACGGCCTACCTCTCCTCCCTCATCACACCCATGGCACAGTTCCACCCCACCACTCAGGAGTACTCAGGCATCGCAAGCCTGGGGGCTTCAGGGGTAGCTGTGGCCTGACCAGTCACCATCCTTGGCCCAGCCTGGCCCCACTTTGTGGCCAGGATCACAGGCAGGGAGAGCCTGACATTCCACTGCACCCCACCCCAGACTCCCTCCTGTCCTGTGGCTTCCCCCAGGAATTGCTCTCAAACAAATAAAATGTGGGTAATTACGGGGCTAGGGGCTGGACAGGCGGCCCTGCAGATGAAAGCGTTTCCTGGACGGTCTCTTCATTTGCATGGCATCAGAAGCTGCTCAGAAGGTGTGACTTTTCCCACAGTGAGACCCCAGCTCCTTGCACAATAAAGCGGGGCTGCTCACCCAGAATTAATTAAAGGGGGAGGGGAGGGGATGGAGCAAATGAGGAGGCACCAAGAGCTGGGGGAGCCAGAAGAGAGATGTCTAGAGCCCCTCCCTGAGTGCCCAGTGTCTATGAACCAGGAGAAACCTACTCTACCCAGAGGGCCGCGCCTTCACAGCAGGCTGAAGGTGACGTAGCAGGAGGTGATGTAGAAAAAGCCCAGGGCATCCCCAATCTCTCTATGCCAAGGCTTCCCACTGAGCCCTGAAATTCCAGATCCACCTGGATGGCCTGAGTCTGGGACTTGCAGTTACAACTCTAGGAGGCCAGTGTGGTTAGAAAGCTTTGGGGTGCTCCCCTCCCAAAGGATATGCGAAAGACCAGGAGCCCAGAGGGAAGACATTCCTGGATTGGCCCAGGAACTGGGCTATGGGACCGGCCAGGGGCACCCTCAAAGAAGGCAGCATGAGCAGCCAGCATGGGAGACCTCTGATGTAAAGACTGGGTCAGCCCTGCCCTCAGGGGACCTGCTGCTTCTGGGCTTGGGTGCTCCATCATCCCGTAGCACAGCGTGGTATGATGCGAGTGTCGCCGGTCCACATCCGAGCACACTCCCCTCCACCCACCGTGGACCAGTCCTCTTGCCCGCACCGTGACCTGCACTACCAGCCTGAGCTCCTCTCCATCCAGGCCCCCTCTCTCCAAAGGCAGCAGCCACCCCCTAAATCACAGTCCCCCAGGTCCTTCTGCAGCACCTGAGCTTGGCACCTTCTGCTCGCAGCTGTCTAACCAGATCTCCCACAGCTCACGCTGGTTCCACGTCACGATGGTCAACGCCAGCCTTGGAGGTCCCCCCTCTGACATATCCTCACCTTGGGCCCTGGCAGCTGCTCTTTTCTTTCACTTCCTGCAGCCTGACACTCAGAGAGAAGGAGCCCTGGCATCCCCCTTTTGCCCCGCACACGGACCGAGGCACACAGAAAGGCACCGTTCTCAGACTCATGGGATCCACGGTCGCAGCTCTGGCAGAGCCGTCATTTCTGGCCCAGGGGTGGCCTGGGCAAGTGTCAGCAATAACTCCTGTTAAAAGCTAGGAAGTGCATGTCTCCCAGGACCAGCTGAGGGCCTCTTCTTGCTCCTTCCCCTACTTCTGTCCTCCAGGGAAAACCCTGCAGTGACAATGATGGGGACGGGGACAGACATCAGTCCTTAGGCTAAAGGGAGGCTACTGTCAGACCTGGGGCCTGATTCGCTGCGTCTCCCAGCTCCGCCGCCAGCTGGGACAGGGCAGGGGGCAGGAAGCTGACCCCAGAAGGAATCACCCTCCAAGACACATTTTTAATACGCAAGTTAAATAAATATTTTAGTCATTTAATAGCAACTAATACACAACCTCCCCCCTACTGACAGCCACCCTTAAAACACCTGACCTAAGTCCTTACCCTTTCCTTCCCGCCCCCACCTGGGGGTGCAGTGGAGTTCCTAGCTGCCTGGCCAGCTTGCTCTGCAGGTACTGGGGGCTCAGAAGCACCGCTGCTGGACTAGAAAAAGCCTCCCATGCCCAGGGGGCCCCCCCTAATCTCAGTCTTGGCCACTAACTGGCCTTCCTGAGAGTTAAGAAGACACCACAGCCAAATGGAATACAAAAATAGAGCCTCTCTTTTGTTTAAAAAAAAAAAAAACCCAACAGCAAACAATTATCAACAACTAGAACCCGGGGCTTCCCCGGCTCCTCCCCAGCCTTCAGTAGAGCAGACCTCGTCTTGCTTGAGTTTCTGTTTGTGCTCCCCTGAGATGGAAATCTCCGCGCTGGGAGCCGCGGGAGGGGCCGGGCGGGCGCCTATCGGGGCTCCGGGGCCCAAGTCCTCTGGCTGCCGCGCAAGCTGCGCGTGAAGGGCGGGTAGTTGAGGAACTCGAACCGCAGGCTCTGCTCGGTGGTGTGGTGGCCACGGGGCAGCCGCTTCATGAAGTGGACCTCGCGCTGGTGCTGCCGCGTCTTGGAGCCCTTACGGGGCCGGCCCTTGCGGGTGAAGGCCATGTACCAGCCCTCGTACTTGGCGTTCTGCAGGGCGGTGTAGTTGTTCTCCAGTACGATCTCCGTGAAGACACAGTCTTTGCCTTTGCCGTTGCTCTGCAGGTAGGGGGGCCAGACACAGCGTTACTGGGCTCTCTCCGGAGCCCACCCCCTCATCAGAGGCAGAGGGCAGGCGGCCCCAGACAGCAGGTGGGCACCCCAGCAGATGGCAGGGTGGGCAGGAGCTGCAGCCCCACCCCCTGCCTGGGCACCCGCTCTCTAATCCCTCACAACCCGCAGCCCACCCGGCAACTTCCTGTCCTCCCGGGCAGCAGTGACACATGGCTATCTACCGAAAGGGCTGGGCCCCGACACAGAGAGGCAGCAGAGAGGGGGCCCAGACCCTGCCCACCCTGGCCTCCTGCCCACCAGTCTGGCCTGAGCTGCTAGCACCCGTTTCCCCACCTGCCCCCGTCAGCCCCTCAGGATTCCGGCTCCAGGGCCCCTGGGCAGCCACCCCATGGGGGAGGGGAGGCCTCCGAGGAGACGCTGAGTCCCAAGCCCCAGAAGCCCAGCAAGCGGGGAGCTCGAGGCTGGAGAGGAGCCGTGACTAATGGGGCCATTTCAGAGCTCGGCCGAGGGGCTGGGCCTGCGGCTTACTGAACATTCCAAATGCTGGTACCATGTAATTGGACATAATAGCAAAGCAATTTGGCGATTTGTTAAAAAGATATATGGAATTTACCAACCTTTCCCCCCCACCCCCCAGCCCCTTCCCTAGCCTTCCTTCTTCCTCCTTTGCCTTTATGGCTTTTCATCTCTCCAGCAATTTCCTTCTCCCTCACCTCTCCCCTTCCAATCGTCAGATAACCCCAAGGTGGCCCCAGGTCTCTCTGCCCACCTTGTTGATATCCTGGAGGAGCTGGCCAGCCCAGCCCGTGCTCCCCAGGCCCCAGCCCCGACCCCACCCCATCCTCCTGGGGCTCCACCTTGGCAATCAGCTTCCCCTTCTTGTTCATGCAGATGTAGAGGCCTGTCTCGGCGCCTCGCACTCGAACCCGGCTGCCGAAGGTGTCTGTCTCCACAATGAGCTTCGCTGTCCGGGACAGAGGAGGGAGGTTACTGGAAGCCCCCTCGCCCCCACGGCTCCGTGTCCCCACCCCAACAGGCCCACAGACTCATCACATCCTAGCAGCCACTGCTCCAAGGCCCAGGTACCCAAGAGGTGGGCTTCAGCCCCCTAGCTAAGGTCAAGCCCCCCACCTGGGCCAAAGGCCCCTCACCTGGGTTTACAGAGGGGGATGAACAAGATCATGATGTGCCAATCTCAGAGGGGCCTTGGGGCCTTCAAATTGAAAAGTCCCTCTTTTAAAACCAGACGGTAATGATGTTGAAGTCAAGGTTTCGAGACTAGGGTTTTTCTGCTGCTCAGAAGATCTCTGAGAATCATTCCAACTCCAAATGTCAAGTGCAATGCCTCACAGGTCGTTTCATACATCCGGGAAGGGTGGTGGCCTCCAGTCCTGAGGCCAAACGTAAAAGCACTGTCTCCTGTTTCTGGTACCTGGGGTTTGAACTCACAGCCTTGGCCAGCCCTCTTTCCCCACTGCTGTTGTGTTGGGAAGGCCATAGGGATGGGACAGCTCTCCCTAACACAGCCCCTAGCCAGCTGCTTTCCCTGAACTCAGAACCCAGCTGGGAGGGTCCTGCCTCTTCCCCTTGCATCCCAATCGCCGCCGAAGTCCCCAGCACATGCCTGTGCCCATAAGTCAACAACTCGATGTCTTTCCTCTCTCACCCTCCATCACAGCCAGCCTTCTTGCCCCAGTGCCCCAGCCCTTTCTGTGCGTGTAGAGGGAGGAAATCAGGCATGCTTGCCTCTCAGGCTTGGGAGAAAATATGGAGCTGAGTTCTGGGCCTTCCTCCCCATCCTCCTCCTCCTCAGACAGCAAACTTGCCACAGAAGCCAGTTCCTGTCCACTCTGTGTCACTCCTCCCTTTTGAGGCTGTCCCCAAAAGGGAGTGAGGGCTGACTTAGCCCTTTGGGACGGGACTGAAGGGGCGGGGTCTCCTGCCCTCCCCACTGCAGCGTCCAGCCCCGTCCCTCCTGGAGAGCAGTTCTGAGACTCCCGGAGCTGCCACCCAGCCTCCACTGACAAGGTGGCACCTTCTCTGTCCCTGAGACTCCTGGGAAGATGGGCGTCGAGGTCAGCAAGACAGCCCCCAATGCCCAGCCTGTGACTGCCCACCCCCTTACATGAGCACAGAGCAGGGGCCCAGCGGCCAAGTCCTCAGTCTGGCTCCAAGTCAGCCAAGGGGAAGTGCAGCTGTCACCCCTCCCCACCCACCTCCTTTTGGACCCGGCTGGCCTGCTCATCCCTCTGCCTGGTCTGCCTTCCAGCGCAAAAAGTAGCCGCTTTTAAGGGGCAGGAAGGACACGGATGGGAGAAGGGCGAGAGGATCCCACTTGGAGGATCCCACCGGGAGGATTCTGGCCAAACCAGGAAGGTAGAGATGGAGTAGGCCCCTCCGCCACTTCCTGGGGCCCATTAGAGAGCAGCTAGGGCCTCTCTGCTGTTCTTTCCAAGACTCATCCTGTCCTGGCTGCACACCCTAAGTCTGCTCTTGGGCCCTCCAACTTCTACCCCTGCCTGCCGGGCAGGCAGGGACCATCCAAGGAGCCTGGGAAGCCTACTTCCTATCCGTGTGAAGAGAGAAGTGGGCATCAGACATCTGATGTCTGAAGACGAGTTCTTCTATGGCCGCTTGGCCTCTTCTCCCCTCCCCAAAAGCCAAGGATGCTGGGCCATTTGCTCTGATGGAGCAAACCCAGAAGGAGCCAGGCAGGCATCCATTCCCATTCCTAGGAAGCTAAGAAGGGCAGCTAGCAGCCAGTCTGGAGGGACAAAGGGAAGGTAGGCTGGCCCTGCCAGCCCAGCGGGGGAGCTCGGCCACTGGGCAGGCCGCCGCCACCCCACCCCCCAACCAGGAGCCCCCACTCGCCTTCCTGGATGTTTCTGGGGAGCTGGGGCTGCAGTGCACAGCGGCTTCCCCGACCGGGCTTTTGGAAAGCTTAACATTTTCAAACCTATTCTTCCACCCAGTGACAGATTTATCCCAGGAAAATTATGTCTCCTTCTCCAGCTTTGAAGGGAAGTCAGCTACGTCGACGCAGAAAAAATGCAGCGAGACATACTCGATCCCCCAAACTGGCTCGAGAAGAGGAGAAAGTATTCAGGAAATGTTTAAAACGGTGAAAGTAAGAAGAGTTTTAATCGCTCTGCCAGACGCGGGGGTCTCTCCAGAGATTCATAGAGAACAATCTTGAACCTCTTTTTTAACATTTGCAGACTTCCAACTCTTTTCAAACTCCACATCTGAAAAAAGGGGCTCGTTCTTTTTCTGTTTTATATCATCCTTCATTTTTCTTCTTAGCTCTTAAAATGCCTCACCTTTTTATTACATTTTAATAGAGTCTTCCCCTCTGCTTTCATGCTTGTTTAACTTGGTCATTATTTAAAGGTTTTTAAACTCACAATAATCGCTCTCTAAAAACAACACCAGCCGCCCAGAGGGCTTGCTTTTCTCTGGGCACATCAGGACTCTGGAAATTGGCCTTGTTTCAAGGCAGGAATATTGAATGTTTTAGAAATCAATCAGTCCTCGGCCTCTGCACCGGGCAGTAGCTCCCTGTACTCACCGCCCCACCGGGAGCCGAGAGCCGGCTCCGACCCACCGCCTGGGTTCCTGGGCGAGCGGAGCAGGGAGGCCCCTTCCCCTTCCCAGAAGGGTCCCCGTGTGTAACTGACCCTTCTGATCAAAGCGTTTAAAGGTTCACAGCACCCCCTCACAAGCTGGGAGAGTTGGGGGGACTTCTCTCCCTTCTCTTTCCCACTCTCCTTTTGTGGGCCCTGGCGACATATCCTCTTTCAAGAGCTTCCCTTAAACCTGGGCCCCCTCCCCCTGAACCCTCTGCCTCCACCTGCAGCTGGGGAGGGGTGTATGAAAGGGGGAGGTGTAAAGGGAAATTCCTGGATTCATTCATCTGCTGGGCAAGGAAGGGGCACCCGTGGGCCAAGTACTCCCCAAGGTCCCTTCCCAAACCCTCTCTTCTCCAGCTGACCCCCAAAACACTCTTTTTGCCTTAACCCATTGCCTTCTGAGCTGGGAGCCTGCAGAGCCCTGGCCCACACAGCTGCGGCTGGTGGGTCCGGTCGCGGCAGGCCCGCCGGGGAAGGGGGCGCGTTCCCCGAGCTGCCTTCACCCTGCCGCGGTGCAGCGCGCCTTACCGAAGGGGTCCCCGTCGTCTGCCATGGCGTTGATGCGCTTGTTGGCCAGGACCTGCACGTGCTTCCCGCTGGTGCGGCTGTAGAGCTGGTAGGTCCGGATGAGGCGGCGGCTGAGCTGATCCGTCACCAGGCTCTGCTCCCTCACATGCTGTGTAAAATTAGGTGAGGACTGAACAGTTACCTTTAGGAAATTGAAAAATACACAACACGCCATTATAATGCTACTCTGCCCAGGGGCCCCAGTGGCCCCCATTGCCCTGTACCCCACCTCCACTGCCCCAGGCAGCGGGCAGGGGCTGGGGGTCCCCCCAACATGCCAGCTCAGGCTACCACCCCCCACCCAGGAAAGCCGGGCGTGTCCAACCCAGCGTGATGGGTGAGCCGGGGGATGGGGAAGGGTCTGGACCCACCTGTTGGGAAACACCCTGGGACTCGCGGCCAGCTCGGAACAGGGAAGCCAGCTCCCTGCCCAGCGCAGGCCCCCCGCCCGGGCCTTCCTAGAAGAGCAGGGCGCTTTTAAGTAAGGAGGCAGCGCTGCCTGACCCCTGACATTTATAAAGACAAATTTACGGAGCAAATGTTGGGAGCACAGAGGGCCTAAGCACCTGATCTTTCCGCCAGACCCGCCACAAACCTCCCCCGGGAGCCGCGGGGAGGGTCCCTGAGGCAGGCCCCCGACTTCTGACAAGAACGCTCCCTTGGCCCCGACCTGCCCCCTTCCTCGGCGACCAGGTGAGGCTGCCCGTGGAGTACCCCAACCTGGCTGGAACGCGTGGGAGACAACGCTAGACTTAGAGACCTTGGTTGGGTTCTAGCTTCGATACGCACTGGCTGTGTGACCTTGTGCTGGGCGCTACCTCTCTGTTCCTTAGCTCCCGACTCGGGATAGTTCGGGGTTGGGTTTCTAAGGCTCCTTCCAACCCTGCCGCGCTGGCCGCAGCATCGGTCCTGGTGCCCCTGCCCGACTTGGCCAGCAGGCGCTCCCCGCCGGAGCCCGGCCCCCGGCCCCCGGCCCCCGGCCCCCGCCTCCGCGCAGTGCGCCTTACCTGGGCTTGGAGGCAGAGAACCAGCAAGTGCAACAGCCTGTGGGAGACAAAAGCGGGCGGGAGAGAGAGGGGCGCAGGGTGAGCGAGGGGCGCGGCGCGCGGCCGGCGGGGACGGGGCGGCGGTACTCACAGGCAGCTCAGCGCCGAGCGGGGGCTGCCCATGGCGCGCGGCCCGGGGAGCGCGGGGAGCCCCGGCGGGATCACGCCGGCCCGCGGGCACACGAGCTGAGACCGGCGGCGAGCGAGGGCTGTTCGAGGGCGGGAGCCCGGCGGCGGTGTCGACGCGGCTCCGCAGGTCCCGTGGAAGGTCGAGCTGGCCGCGCCGAGCCGCTCTGCGCCGCTACCGGAGCCGGTGGCCGCTGGCTACTCAGGAGCCGGAGCAGGCGGAGGGTAACGGGCCGGCAGGGTGGGTGGGTAGGTGGGAAGGGGAGGGGGAGGGGTGGGGGCGGGGGGCGCCGCACCGGGCGCGAGGGGGGAGCGCGGGGCGGGCGGCCGGAGCCCGCAGCCCCGGCTAGGAGCTGGGGCCGGGACGCAGCCCGGGGCGGGGGCGGGGCGGCCGGGGCGGGGCGGCCGGCGGGTCTGGGATTGGGGGTCTGGGCCGGGGGAGGGGTCTGGGGACCCACCGGAGGGGCGTGGGCGGCCGGGGTGGGCGCCTTCCCCCCTCCTGGGCCCGTCCCCTCGCGCACTCTTGAGGTCTAGACACGCGGGAATAGGGGGCGTCTCGGGCGCCCGTTCCATGGGGTCCCTAGACCCTCCGCTGGGGTTTCCTGGACTTCGGGCGCGTCTGAGTCGGAAGGTGCCAGGGCTCCACCGTGGGGCCCGTCGGCTCACGCCTCTGCCTATGCTAGCGGGTCTCTGAGCCACCTACTGTGCGCTCCTGCTGCGCCCGCCCCTGGGAAGTGGCCGCTGACTCTGGACTGAAGGGCACTACGTGCCTGTGCGACGGGGAACCGACCCCCACCTTTCTGCTGAGTACCCTGCCCTGCCTGTCTCTCCGTCTCTCTCAGTCTTCAAGAAGCCCTGAGAGAGAGAAATGTCTCCTTCCTACCTTCTAGCACCCATTATCACCATCACCTCCGCTCCTGTTACCCCCGCCCCCAATACAAATACACACATATGCTGACCTGAAGCTTCGGAGGAACACGAGCCCCCTATGTGGGAGAGCCCAGAAGTCCCTGGCAAGGACCCCCAGTCCCTGCCAACCCCCAAAGCAATGGGCAGATGGGGCAAAAATAACTACTCTTAGCTGTTTTTCCTGGAGAAGAGACTTCCGTCCAGGCCGCCAACTTTTCTCTCTCCGAGTCCCATTATTCGTGCACTTAAGAGGCATTTACACACCTACTGTGTACTAGACAGGGACTGGTGCTTTCTGTCCACTGGGGCGGGGGGGGGGGCGCGGGAGTGCCGAAGGAGGAGGTATGTATGGTCTTGTCCAAGCCTTTCCCAGGCCCTCATTGCTTCCCCTGGCAGGAGGAGGGGTGCTTCTGGAAACCCGGAGCCATGGTGCTACTTTGGGAGCAGCTTGGGTGGGCAGAGGTGCCCTTGGGGTAGGTACTTCTGAGAAGCAGGTGAAGCCACTGATGCTCTGCCCAGCTGCTGCCTCTGACCACACCCCCTTGCCCCACGGGCCCCCTCGCTCCTTGGGGGTTGGGCTGGAGGGGTTGGGTGGTCTTAGGAAGCCATTAGGCCAAAGGCAGTAAGTAGGCAGGCCCTTTTCCAACAGTAGAGCCAAGTTCTGCTTCCCTCCTGCTCCTCTTCCTCCCCCCACTCCCAGCCATAATGCTAACAGTGAGAAATATGGGAAAACAGAGTCAGAAGACTTATCCCAAAGATCTCATCGCTCCTCAGAGGAGTGGACCTCCTGAGCCCACCTGTCCCCCCCTCCAGGAGCCAATTCACTCAGCGGGCTCTTGCCCAGACAGACCTCCAGGCAAGGACCATGTCTGACCAGCTCGGAGCTGGCAGCTCATGGCACAGAGCTGGGCAGGGCTGCTCTGCAGTTAGCATTTGAGATGAGTGTGTGCAGTGGGGAAACTGGCTGAGCGTTTCAACCTCAGCCCCTGCGCGGTTCCCCAGGGAGACTTGCCTTCACCCCTTGCCTCCACCCCCTTGCCTCCACAGGTAATAACCATAAACACCACCATTTACTGAGCACTCATGTTTGCTACAAGCTGGGCTTACACCCTCTCCTCTCAACCCCACTAGGAGATGGGCCCATTGGGTGGGTGGGGGTGAGAGGTGAGGTGGGCTCCAGTGCCCACAACCCAGACCAGCCCCTGTGCTTTATGGTGCTCCTCTGTGTCAGAGGCCTGCGGGACACCTGTTGAGTGCCTACCTCCCCAGCTGCACTGCTGGAAGCAGGCAGGATACTCACCATCGTAACCCCATGCCTGTGAAGAGTAGGCCCTTGAAAAAGTTTGTGTGCATGTGTTTGTTGAATGAATGAGTGGAGAGATGGAGAGCAGAGGATCTGAAGGGCCTTCTCCCTACCCAGTTCTCTGAAAATGGTCTGATGAGAACAGGGAGACGGACTCAGGCATTCAGCCCAGCTTAGTGCGTTGTGCCTAGTCCTGGAGTCACAACCAGAGCCACTGGGCACCGGTCCTCCCCTGGAAAGGTGGCGGGGGAGCAGGGTGAAAACCAGAGCTCCTGGACCAGACCAGGGTCCAGCCCGAGTTCTGGAGCCCCCAGAAGCTTCCGAAGGCCCTAGGCTGAACCTCAATAATCATAACCACCCTTCTCTCCCCTCCGCCTCAGAGAAGATGGGCATCTGGGGCCTAGAAGTGTGGAGGCCAGGATTTTAGTCCTACACCTCAACCTCCACCAAAGAGCCTGCTTGTGTGGGACCAGAATTCCTTCACATTTGGAGAACTTCCCCTGAACTAGATCCTGGACGATTTGGGGAGATTCTTTTCATCTCCCCAAAAGTCCGAGAGTTTACAGAGGGGCAGATGGGGACACACCGCACCCAGCCCCAGGTCCGGTCTGGGTGCACTCTGAGTGACAGATGCAAAAATATTCCTTCAGGGCCCCCGCAGGCCGCTCTCTCCCTCCCTCACTCCCTCGCTCGCCTCCCAGCCAGCTCTCTTCTTCCTTTATCTTATCAAAGCCCCGTAATTACAATTGCTATTTTGTTTCTTCGAATCTGCAATCAGAGCTCCCTGGCCCTGATGAGGGAGCGCCTGTCAGCCTGATCGCTGAGTGACAGCCCGGCCGCCTTTCCCCGCCGCCCCCACACTTCGCAAACACAAATACACACACACACACACACACACACACACACACACACACACACCCTCGCCTCCTACAAACACAAACACACACTCCTCACCAACACAAACAGCTTCTCTCCGCAAACACGCCCTCGCGGAGACCCAAACACACACCTTCAACCTCCTTCCAAACGCATCCCTCGCCCCCCGCCCTCTCCAGCCCCCTCCGATCCCCACCAGGTTGCTCGGGCTGCCACTCGCTCCCTGGCGTGCCTCCTGCGCTAGGCGTTCAAAGCGCTGCGGTGTGTCCGCTGACCGTTGAAATGCAAATTGTGGAGACTGTGTTAAGCACTGCGGACACCGTGAGGGAGCTGTCCCGGTCTCCCCGCGAAAGGCAGGCCTGCCTTTCCTCCCGTGGTCTGCAGACCCCAGGGCACGCCTTCGAGCCTCAGTGCTCCGTGGCCAGAGTGAATTGGCAGCGCTCCTACTGTGCGCTGAGGGTGTAGAAGGGGGATCGAGGAAAGACGGGGTTGCGGGGAGCCGAGGAGGGAGAAAAAATAATTCCTAGGCATTATCCCCCGGGTGCCTGGTCTGGCCGGGAAACTCCCGGACGCAGGGGCAGATGTGGATTAGGCCCCACTGCGGGCAGGAGCGTGCTCCGCGCTGCCCGGTCATTCTCGGAAACCCACCAAGACCACAGCGGAGGCACCCAGTGAGCCATCGGCCGCTTGCGTGGGGCGAGGCAGGCACATATTGGGGCAGAGCCATGCGCAGGGGGTAGCTGGGTTGGCCTTCCTCTGCCCCCAGATGGCTCCCCCCCCCCGCCCCGCACCCAGCGGGTCTCCGGTGCCTCCGACCTTGGACGTGCGGAGGACTTTGGAGGCTATAGGCGAGAGGAGATAGGGGAATGCTCTAACGGAGTCCGTCCAGTGAATGATGAATGAATGAATGTATCTAGTCAGCCTTACTTACTCCCTCGCCTTTCGCCTAAACTTTGGCGGCCAGACCACTTGAGGGCAGCGAGCTCCTGCACGCCTAAAGCCCCTAAAAGAGACAACATGGGGCATCCACAGGGCCACAGGCAGTTTCAACGTCGCCCACAAGAGGGCGCAAGCTCCCCCTACCCCTGTGTCCCTTTCTAACCTATGAAGCGGTAAAGTGAATGATCTCAAGCCTGGCTACCCTCCTCCACCCTGGTTCTTGGTGGAAGCACTTCAGGGAAGTTCTCGGGAGAGGAGAAAGGGGCCTGAGACCCTGATCACTGCAACAACAACAACAACAACAACAACAACGACAAAATAGAGGGATCGCCTTCCTTTCTCAACTTGAGGATAAAGGGAAGTTAAAAACTGGACCTCTGCTCCTCACCACAGAGCAGGAAACTTCTTCTAGGCATATGTTGAAGAGGGAGTGCTTTTCAGGGGCACTCTCTCCGAAGTTTACCTAGCTGGCCCAATGCCACCTTGGGCCAAGTCCCTTGGGGTTCGCTAGGGACCCCTACTTGTTCAACTCATTGTGGGAGGGAGTGGGCCTGCCCCCCACCCTCACCCCCACCCCAGGCACTGTTCTCTGTCTATCCTCGGCATGTCTGGCCCCAGGCTACCCCAGGAGTTAACCTTTTATTTGTTTGTTTGTTTGTGAGCATTGAGACACCCCACCCCATCGACACAGCTGCTGAACTGCTGACCCCAGAGTTGGTCACATACACATGCATCCCTTTCTCTTCTTGGCACAGCAGCAGCCAAGCCCAAGAACCACCTAATTCCAGGCACCAGAGACCCTAGACCAGGCGGTGTGTATGGGGGGCAGAAACCCCTTAACCCAGGAGACTGAAACCCAGAGGCTCTTCTCTGCCCCCATATGCCAGGCCACCCGGATTCTGGTTTCCCTGTCACCCAATCTGGTCAGCCCCCTCCATCTGGCCCTTGGAATCAGGTTTCTAAGGCCCCA